TATGTATATATATATTTTTTTTCTTTTTCTTTTTTTCAAAAGTGTAGAATAGCCTTACCTTTTAATGGTATAAACACAAACGTTTTCGGGCATCGTTTTTCAGCAGGTGGTCATCAATCAGTAGATGCCTCAAAACATTATATGAAGAATGCATTTTAGGCTGGAATAGTGAAGGCTTCAAAGGGCTCCCCTATTGCTCACTATTTCAAATTAAAGAGCCATACTATCAGTGATTTATGCTAGTTAATCTTGGGCACCAATTTAAGATCTACTAAGGCTAGAAGATGTCCCGAGGCTATCCGCCCAGTCTTCTAGCCTTAGTACAATTTTAAAATTGGTGCCTTAGATTATAAAGCCTAAATCACTGATAGTATGGCATGGTAAATTAAAGTGGTGATCAACAGGAAGCCCTTTGATAGTCTTAACTATTTTTTGTGGTTGTTAAGTCTGAGTTATTACATTTAGTTCAAAATAGTTAATTGCTGTTTATTACATTTTATTTCAAAATAGTAGCTGCGCTTTTGCACGACGATGACGACAAAATTCAAATTCGGCAAAATGGGTTCGGCAAACCGGGTTTCGGCCAACTGGGATTTGATGTTTTCAGTGAACTGGATTCGGCAAAATGGGTTTTCGGTAAAGTGGGTTAAGTTCGGCAAATCGGGTTTCGACACACTGGATTTCAACCAACTGGGAGGATACCAAATACGGCAAAGTTTCACACTGACAGTTGACAGTCACGGAAAAATACGTAGTTCCATCCATATTATATCGCTGGTTGCGTACGCACCCCACAATATTTAAAAGGTCCTCCACATATTCATGACAGTCGAGAATGTACTGAATATACAATTTGTGATTTTCTGTGATAAAAAACATACATATTTACATTTCAATCAGTAATCTAAATCTCGCGGAAGGAACTCCTGTGCAATACTCTATGCGATCTACTACGAACCGTTCTTTTTGCTCTCCTCTGAGAGGGGAGTATTCCTTGTATGCATGTACAACACTTCCAATCTCATTCATCTCATTTTATGTTCACTTGGTTATAGCTCGCTTTCTCTTTCTACTTTGCCGCCGCCCGTCACTACATTTTCCTCTTTCCAGTAGCTTGGGCAGTGCAGCCGCAGTGCAGAACACTGAGGTCTGGGGCTATTAGGGGTCTGTTAATAGTCCTCTAAACATTATAATTAAACCTTTGCTATTTATTTATTTATTTAATAGAAACATTTAACAGTCAGTGAGCCCCCCACCCCAACCCTCCCCGATAAAGATGTTAAGCCGGGCACGCAATACGTTATACGACGGTCGTACGACCGTCGTGCGACGAATCCACTCCATTCTGTGAGAGCTAGACGGCGCGGTGCTGTCTGTAATGTCGGTAGCAGTTGGAAAGGATGGTCATTAAAAGCCATTCGTTGCGCGCGCGTCGTGGTGTTGCGTTCTTTATAGCATCGTGTCGTCCGCCGAGTGCAATGAATATCCAGCTTTAGAGGAGATAATCATTGATTATTGTGATCATTTTAATTGTGTAACCTTTGATTTATTTTTAACAAAAAAATACAAATATTAATCAGTACCTAAAATAGTTTAAATTTAATCAAATAGTTATTTCGTTCGTTCGTTCGTATGAATTATAATCGATTCTAGTTGCTGTTATTAATTGATTGGAACAGTCGTAGCAAGGTCACCAATGAGCAGATAAACAGCATGACCCACCCATCCCATGTATACTCTTGGGTGAAGAGATACAAACGTAAGTAAAGTGTCTTGCCCAAGGACACAAGCAATGCGACGAACGTCGGTCTCGAAAACTTTCGATGTTACGATCGGAAGTCCAACACCTTACACGCCGCACCACACGCTCCCACAAATCAATCAAATGTGGTTCGTGTAAAGCCAAAAAGTTCGGAGATTACATGGATTTGGAGAGAGGACAATGAGAGTCTAAAGGAAAGCGATTACTAGGCCTACTTTGCAAGATCTTCTAGAGTAGGCCCTACCAGGTATACAAGCTTGTATACTTGCACAAGATTAGAGATGATATTTTGCATTAGTTGTTTGTTTTTTATTATTATTATTATTTATTTTTTTATTTTTATATTTTAACTGAGAGAACAGCAGAAGTAAATAAATTCCTGAACTGATAGTGGGTTGCAAAGAGGAAATCGATCACTACTTGGCAAGTTCCTCATCAGGATTACGAGGCTGTTCACACTTTAAGGAGCTTTTGTTTTATTTTTAAATTTTTAACTGACAGAACACAACAGAAGAAAATGAATGCATGAACTGATATTTTGTGAGTTTCATATCACTTTCTAACAAAAGGGATATCATAAAGCTTATTTGTATACAATTACTGTTGTCCGATATCTGTGCGCATTGAAAACATGACAATGTTTAAATTGGGTTTGAAATCCAAAAATATGATAACCTATATATATTTATACAGTTTTCTTTAATTATGAAAATTTAAGGCATTTATCAATCTCATTACTACTCTGTTTCATTCATTAATGAAATTTTATTTTTATTTTCTCCTCCGCATAGATGGCTTTGACCGATGGTGAGCTAGAACATAGCATTCAGCTGATATATAACTGAAACAAAAGTTTCAACAAGCTTGCTAGGACATGACAAAAGCAGCTAATATAAATGTTATGGTTAAGGCTATAGTAGCAATTAAAGAGTCACAACAAACCACAAAAAGTCAGAAACTCTGTAAAACTTGGATGAACAAGCAGGAAAACGTATACAAAGCACAAAATCTTCTAATAGAATAACAATCAAAACTATACTAGTAATATCAATAATTATGAAAAAGCTATTAAGTAAGTGAAATGATATTCTTTTTTAGGTTTTGTTCATTATTGGTCATAGTAGTATGTTTAAAACAAGAATTATCATACAAATCACTTTATGCATATAGACACAATATTAAAATAAAAAATAGTACGGTATGAAACAACGGTACAGCACTTACATAAATTGATTATCCTAGCATCACTTACTATACAATAACTACCATTTTGCACAAACTTAATATCAGCGTGATGGTAGGTAAAATGTTTACAAAACCACTTTATTATAAAAAAAAAAGAACTATATACTTTCAAAATTGTTTTCGAACATTAGATAATTAGTATCTGTTTAAGTCCCACCAAATAATCAAAAAGTTTTTTTAACTATATAAATACGAAAATACACTTTTTGCATAAATAAATCATCTATGAAATATGATCTCGATATATACAAAAAGCACACTGTATTCATCGGCTAAAACGGCTGCCAGTTGGATATACACTATAGATTTATTATAACAGAGATATTTAGAACATATTATGGTTGTGTTGGCTCATGTGCAAATTATTATGTGGGCCCTATAATATTTGAATAGCTTAGGCGGGATTTTTTTTATTCCTTTTTGTTTAGCAAACCCTTCGACCCTCAAATTGGTGGTTTTGAATAGAAATATCATTTTATTTTTGGCCATTTCGCTATGAAAAAAATGAAAATGTCATACTAATACAATTTTATATTAATTTTTTTAATACGCCTTTGGCTCCCCGGGGCCCCTTAAATTGGGTTTGAAATCCAAAAATATGATAACCTATATATTTATACAGTTTTCTTTAATTATGAAAATTTAAGACATTTATCAATCTCAATACTACTCTGTTTCATTCATTAATGAAATTTTATTTTTATTTTCTCCTCCGCATAAATGGCTTTGGCAAACTCATTTTGCTAAATGTGAAAACAAAATTTTACTTTTATTTTTTTTTTCCACCCTCCTCTGACGAACTAAAAAATATAAGTTTGCGAAACAAGGTATAAAAAGTCTCGCCTTAGTAGTGAAAATGTTAGCAATTCAACACCAGGGTCCTTGGTTACAATTTTGTCACTTTGGTAACCGTTTTAGGGGGCTTAGCATGTTGTAGAGGGCTAAGCACATGCACTAGTAAACAAGTTCGGTCTTATAAACAGTTTCTTCTTATTCTATACAGCGACACTAACGAATGATACGCCGAAAAATAGACACTAATTAACTTTGGTGTGGCGCGTACTAAATGTAATAAAAAAAAATTATATTTCACAAAATGTTCTGAGTAACCCAAATAAAGGCCTGTTTTGGTGATCGGTAAGGTATGCAAGATGACATGGGGTGACCAGATTTATAAAAACAAGAAAAAAAAAGCGGAAAAAACAAAAACAAAAAAACCCAACTTATTTTGGGTTGCACCAAGGGCTTAAAGCATCTTGTACACATTTTTAAAACCCTGTTCACTGTAATTTGCATATGTGGGTGTGATATGATATCATTATGGACATGTATCTTAATAGACAGCTAACAGAATATTTTTAATATTTTTAGTGGGGACAGAGTTTAAAAGGTATTTAGAAGACGAACTAAATTTACATTTAATACTGTCTGTATTACGCTAAAAAAATTAATAAAAAACAAAAACAAAAAAAAAATGATGGGGCTGGGGCCAGTGGTATTTTTCAGATTTCAGCAGACGGTATATCTTTGGGAGCATTATGATTTATGTTTACACATTTTCCCGATAGTTCATGACCTGAACTCGACTCGTCTGATAGTGCTGTGATGCACGTCGGTACGTTGGTGCATTCGCGTGGTTGTGATGCTCCTTGTTCGCGGATCTCTTTTCCAACATTTTCTCTTGTATTTTTGTCTGGACGAAAGTAAATAAGGTAGCATTTTGGAAAATAAAATGCTGAAAGCGTAAAAAAATTGAATAACAGAAGAAATATTACTTGAAAACATATCTGAAGCTTTTCGGCTGCCGCAAAATGCGCGGGAAATGAGAACACGCCAAGAATACACCATGTGAACATGATGAACCATATGAACCTCGCTTCTTGGAAATTCTTTGGCAAGTTCCGGGCGCGGAAAGCAAAGATAAAGCACACTAAAGACAATATCAATTGATAAATGTTTGTGACAATAAAACGAGCATCAGTTTTAGTGCAGAAGATAGGTAGAATTGTTAATGAGTTGTTGTAATCATGAACAACGTTGCTGGGGATGGCGATTTCATGAATTACGTTGAATGCTAGATGAAAAGCGATGATAGCTGCAACCAGTATCCACGAATACAGATAAAACAGTTTAGTAGCTATCTGAATAGGCCTATTTATCTTATTATTAAAGATTTTCACAATGACGTATAGCTTAGCGCAGAAGATCCCTAGGATAGCCGTAAGATTAAGCCCATCGATGAGCGACTTGACTTTGCACAGGGTATCTGTTGGAATTCCTATGTAGAAGTAAACCATCTGAAAGCTCAAAAATAAAACAAATGCCAAGACGAAGCTATGTGATAAGCTAGAAGCCTTGACAACAGGTGTGCTGCGATGTTTGTAGAAAATGTACGAGACAGCAACAGTTGCCAAGCTCCCTAGAACGCTTACGATGCAGAAAATGATAGATACGATGTTGTCCCACAAAAACACATCAGGCCTTTTTTTCAGGCAGGTTGTCCGGTTATTATTGGCGTACTGGTCTTGACCACAAACCATACACGTTTCGGCATCTATAACGGGAAGAAAATTAATATAGATTATAAACATGGAGATTGATTATAGGTAATAAAATCATGATTTCTCTAAAAAAAAACAAAAAAAAAAAAACAAAGTAATAATCATTTTGTTTCTATTGATTTAAATGTAAGATAACAATAAAAATATAGTGACGTATACATGTATGTCGATTGGGAGCCTGCGCAGTTCCATCTATACGAACTGACTTATTATTGGGGTTATACCGTAATGTTGTAGCATTGTGCGCAATACTTACTTGTAGTGTTTGATACGGTATTACCTGTACAAAGCAGGCAACGAAAACAACAAGTCGACTTATTCTCGGTATAATGACGACTCGTGCCCGGTTTACAGTCCTGATTACATATCGCTAACGGTTTCTGGAAAAAAGTAATTAATTATAGTAAATACAATTGACTTTATACCCTCAGTTCAGCAATAGTTAAAGCCAGCATTATTGATTAAAGATAGGAAAACAATAGCAAGTATTATATACAAATTATTTTTGCTGCAACTACGAAAATATATTTCTCTTGAAAAAGATAAAGTCTGTATGTATGAAAAAATATTTTGACTTTATTATGTAAAAAGAACCGGAGACTGATGATTTTCCTATTAATAGGAGTCCAAAAATCAATATCCATCGGATATACTCAAGTCATCGTGGTATAAATTGTTTTTGTGTTTTGAGATCGACAGGTAGTAAGGCCTAGTTCAGAGTAGGTGGATAAACCCGGCTCAACTCACCGGATTTATCCACGTGCCAGTCTGAACTAGGTGGCTTATCTCAAGCCGGGCTTGTTGTTATAGTAACTAGGCCTGGTGTGGCACCGTGTTTAACTTTTCTAAGCCGGGCTCTAATCGCTGCGGGGGGGTCTTCCGTTGACTTCCGGTAAAAAAAAAACTTTACTAATCAACATTCAATTACGAGTTCTGTGAGCGAGCGTACGTTTGGCGTGCAATGTTTCGAAACTCTTTTCCTGATTACGGTTTTTTAATATGCCGATACTCGCGCCTGGCTAATCCAGCTAGTCTGAACGCCCGACAAAGTTAAGCCGGGCTTAACCTTGGATTGGATTTATTCGGTGTAAACACCAAGGATAGCCCACGAAAGTCTAGAATTATTTCCAGTGGGGTCCTTCTGGTGGTGATTGGACAGTACACCGTTAGACAATCTCCTACTCTTTTCCGAAAAGTGTACTGCGTTCTTTAACGTGCACATGGGCCATAAATGCACACGGGACCAACGGCTAACGTCTCCTCCGAAAGACGATGCGCTATTGTAACTTGTATTTCAGCCCTCTAGCTGAAACACAAGGAGAGGCAGCGATGGGAATTGAACCGGTCACCTAGAGATCTCCACGGTTCAGCGCACACATAGTGGCTACCACCAGATTAGCCGACTGAGCTAAGCTGCTCTCAAGAGGCGGGCGGCGAATTTTTTTTCCTCGACGTCTCAGCCAAGCCGGATGGTTGCGCTATAATTTCATATGAATTAGAGTTCCTATATTATTATATAGAGAGAGTTCCGACATGAGCGGTTCATGTCACGTGACTACTGGTCGCCCTCTATCTGCCATCTTGGTGCCCATTGATCAAGTCAGTGGTGCGTAGCCAACAAAAATAAGATAAGCTTCGAGGCAAAATTATTGAACTCATGTTACTTAAAAATCCATAACTCCGTAACGAAGAATCGTATCACATTATTTTTTTCTGGAAATGTTCTTAAAAGACTATTCTACACCACTATATAATTTTTAAGAAATGAAAAAAATGTTTCGATAAGATGGGAAAAGAAGAGCTTTTCTAAATAGTGTACTAAAATAGGCTTCTGCAGTACAGTACGTAGATAGGTAGTACTAGGCTAGGCCTAGCTAGCTATAAATGCAGCGTAATACTTTTTCAGTTACCGTATGGCTTACGGATTTCACTTATTATATACTACTAGTTATTTTGGAGATACCCTCGGAGGAGAACCCTAGCTTAGGCGTGCCACAAACACCAGGGGTGGCGCCAGGACCTGCCCGACGGGGGGGCTAAAGGTCTCACTTGGCTGGGGGCCTGGGGGCCCGCCTAGGGCCCCCGGTGGGGGTCCAGGGGGCGAAGCCCCCTGGAAGCCACGGATATTTGATGAATTATGGCGAATTTTTATCACTTATTTGATAGGCATCGAGTTGCTATAATATGACTTCATGTAGGCTATGCTTTCTAATGTTGACACGAGCTTCCAAAACCAAAACATTTTGAATAAAGCAAGAAACAAAGAGTATGCAATGTAACCATCTAATTTATTTTCAAATCCTCATTCTTGAAAGTGAAATTCTATATTTTGGAAATTTTGCATGAAATC